TAGTATACTATATATGACTTAATTTATCAATTACAATATATAATAATTAAAAAAACTTACCAACTATAATACAATACAATAATAAAGTAATAATATTAAAATTAATATATAAGTCCAATATGATTAAAAGCATAGTTAGAAATAAAAAAGACTAGATTGATTAAAAATTAAATGGTGAAACTAATATATATGTGATATATTATATAATATGTGTGTGTGTAAATAAGCTAGCTCGTTGGACTCATAGATTAGGCTTTGAAAAAAATAAACCTAGTTTATTTAACTAAATAGACATAATTAAATGTTTGAATCTAGCATAAGACTATTCAATAAACAGGTTGGTGTCACGGAGCCATTACTCTTCCCCAAAAGGCTAACCTATTAGGGCGTGCAGCGCACCCGCTTATATAGCCAGGACCCTTCCCAAATTCCTTCGATGTGGGACCTGACAACTCCCCCGGCCAATCCATGACACCCTCATCACAGGTGGCCCACCAGAGGGCCCACCAACTGGGTAAACTCAGGTCTGGCTCTAATACCACTTTGTCATGGGGCCATTACTCTCTCTCCAAAAGGCTAACCTGTTAGGGCATGCAGCGCACTCTCTTATATAATCAGGACCCTCCTCAAGTCTTTTCGATGTGGGACCTGACACTGGGCTAGGTTTGAAGTAGGTCAAGGTGGCCTATTCCCACCTTAATAGCCCAATCTAATTGAAATTTAATTTTAAAACTTTCAATTCTGACATCTTACAACCTGCATTTGTAAGAATGCAATATCTCTGTTTTTTATGGTGATCCTTGTCCAAAACTTTGTTACATTTATTATTCTTCCAGTGTCCAGAAAGTTTGTGCATAAATTCTTTGATGCCTTCATGTTGCTTTGCTTCCTACTTTTATTTCCTCGTTTTATAATATCCTATCCTGTAAAGAGAAGGGGAAAAAAATTAGGAAATGGAGAATTTGTGCTCAAAGCCATCTCATCAACATATTATTGTCGCAGCGGCATAACTATTTTACAATGCAAAACAATGACAATATATTTGGTTATGTTAATTTTAAAAACAATTTTAAAATTAAAAAATATACTAATAATGATGATTATAAACAACTAATGGTGGTGATTTATGATAAAAATTGATCAACATAACTGTGATTTTTAATAATTAAATGTAGTATATTTAAAAAATTTAAAAATTTTAAAAATGAAATTAAAAATACTTGATCCTGTTTTTTTTGTTTTTGAAAACAGAAAAATTTTAAAATTTACTTCAATAAATATTTTTTATTTAGTTGTTTTCAAAACTATTTTCAGGTTTTGAAGACAAAAAAATAGAAAAAACTTTAAGTTGTTTTCATTTTATTTTTCTTGTTTTTAAAATCCATTATATTTGATTATTAAAAATTATAATTACTTTAACCAATTTTTATTGTTAGTCACTATCATTAACTGTCTATAACAATCATTATCAGTAATTTTTTAATTCTAAAACTGTTTTTTAATTGATATAATCAAATGGATTTTTATTTTATTTTGTTTTAAAAATAATTTTAAAACTGCATTACAAAATAGTTTTTACAAACAAAAAATGAGAGTAGAAACCAAACATACCCTTATTTAAACGAGTTTTTTAAATTTTTTTTGTTTTGAAAAACATAAAAACAGTTTTTAAAAATAAAAAAAATATACCTAAGACTATTTTATTTTATACTTACCGATGCACTAAGACTCTGTATAACCAAGATGAATTTTCATTATCAGGTTTTGAATCATCTCTTTGAGCTGCAACATCTTCTACAAGGACTACTTTTGAAGATCATGGCTCCTAAATTTGTTTCTGTTTTTATATTCTATTTGTTTCTGTTTCTATATATGTAAAACCCTTAGTAGCTCGTACATGAGTTCTATAATGAGCTCTAAGTCATGTTTTTTTTAATACTTTATTTCCTATGGGCGTTTTAGTGTTATATGTGCGCGCGCGCTCTCAAGCCCAATTACGTATAGTCATCTAGTGTAATTATGTTTTATAATATAGTTGAACTTATTTAAAAGAAACTAATATCATGTTACACAGCTTTATAAAAAATGCTTTCAGTTTTTTACAAATAATAATAAATTCAAAGAATTATTTTAATATCAATAAGTTAAATTATAATAACTCTTATGAGCATGAATAATATTTTTGGGATAATGATAATTTTTTTTCTGAATCCTTTTTTTAGAAAAGCTGGACAACTTATATTGATAAGTGGGATAGTATTTCATCTAAACCATTTTTTAAGTCCTATTTATAAAGGGGAGAATATTAATTTTGGTCATGTGTATAGGATATTTTACTATTTTTTATATTCATTTTTAATTTTCTGCTATTATATAAGGGAACATTGCCTCACTTGTCAATATAAAGTGTGCAACACTCCTTGAAGAAAGTTTAGAAAAAAAAATGATCTTTAACCTAATATTTTTTAAAAAAAATTGATAATTGATCTCTCTAATTTTTGAAAAAAATATGATTCTAAGAGCCTACAATTAAAACAATACAAGTATAAACTAGTGAGAATAATAGTTTACTCTAAAAAGGTTGAACAGATAATAGTTAGACCTTTAATAATAGTTAAGCCTCGATTATGTATTTTCGTTTTATCTTTAATATAGTTAAACTTATTTAAAAGAAACTAATATCATATTACACAGCCTTAAAAAAAGTGTTTTCATTTTTTTTACAAATAATAATAAATTCAAAGCATTATTTTATTATCAAGAAGTTAAATTATAAAAACTCTTATGAGCATGAATAATATTTTTGGGATAAAAATAAATATTTTTTAGGAGCATTGATAATCCTATATTAATAAGTGGAACTATATTTCATCTAAAACATTTTTTTAGTTCTACTTTTAGTGGGAGAATATTAATTTTGGTCCCGTTTATGGGAAATTTGGCTATTTTTTATATTCATTTTAACTTTTATGCTATTATTAAGTGCAATGTAAGGAAACATGGTCTCACTTGTCAATATAGAATATTCTAGCACTCCTCGAAAAAGGTTTAGAGGAAAAAATAGTATTTATCCCAATATATTTAAAAAAAGATTGATAATTGATCTCTCTACTTTTTGAAAAAAAAAAGCAATTATAAGAGCCTACAATTTAAAACAATACAAGTAATTAATATTTAAATAGAAGAGTTACATTTAAAGCTTTCTTACTATTGAAATTTCTAAAGTTATAATTAATTGGACCGATATTTTTAATTTATTTTTTTAAAAAAGATTGTCAAAGATTTAACTGTAATTAATTTAATGTTATAGAACTTAACTATCATTCTTTCTATAAACTATGGACCAATCCAAGTTTGTCCCCAACAAATACAAATAAAAGGGGTTTTTATTTTTACAATAACAAAGAAGGTATGTAAGTTAACCAAAATAAAGTATATTAATTTTTCAAAGAAAACAACTGATAGAGAATTTATAACAAGAGTTAGAGAATAAATCATCAATAAAAATTAAAAGCAAACACATTAATCCTATTAAATTTGGAGACCGCTCATTGACAGATTGAGTTACTTTGAATTGTGATGGAGCAATCAAATGTGTTAATGGTAGAGTTAGTGTAGGTTGCATCCTACGAAATGCAAAAGGGACATGCTATGGGATTGCTGCAAGAATATTAGAATCTGCACTTCTTTACAAGCTAAATTATGAGTTATATTTGATGGTCTTAATATGGTCTGGGATGATAGATACAAAAATATCAAGCTTGGTGTAGATTGCATGCTTGCCATGTGACTCTTATCCCAGCAAGTTTCACAAGTGAATGGGCAAAGCAAAGATGATTGGTCAAATGCTCAAATACTTGATCTATCACACCAAAGCTGGCAAGTTGAAGTAACTCACATTTATCATGATGGCATCATTTGCATCAATCACTTGATGGTTTGACTCTACTCTTAGAAGACGACGCTATGGGCATTGGGCAAACACATTTATGCATTTATGTAATAATTGATTCTTTTAAATTGAACAAAAGAAAAAATTATATTGGGCATGCGTGGGAAGTGTGGTGTGTTGTTGTATGGGTGTATCAAGCATGAGTGTAGATTCCCTTCCCGTAGAGAAGGGTTAAATAGGATAGATACAAAAAAAAAATTTAAAAAAAAGTAACCTAAAAAACATCAATTTCATATTATAGATATATATATATATAAACAAGGATAAAAAAATAAATTGACTTTTAAACTTTATATTCAGAAGCGTATGGAACCTTAAACTTATTTTTTATACCATGTTTTCCTTTATTTTTTAAAAACTATACAAACTTATCATTGCAGTTAATAAAATTTAATTTTAATTATTAGTTAATTAAAAATGATAGAAAAAAGGTATCAAAATTACAAGAAATGACAAAAAAATAGCAAAATACAAAAAAAATACAAATAATGACCCAAATAGTTACCAAAAAAAAAACAAAGAAAATTTTATTGACCCTTTTCTATAATTTTCAAGATCATTTTTTATTATTTTTAATTAACTAATATTTAAAGTTAATTTTTATTAATGACATAACCTTTTTTAAAAGATGAATGGAAACATTGTTAAAAAATGTTTAAGATCTTCAATGATCAATTTATTTTTTTATCCTGAAAATAATGCATGCATGCATGCATTTGACTACATGAGAAATTCTTAAATAGGCCAGATGCACTACAATTATTTGTCATCTATCTAATAAAAATGTAATATTTAGATGACATTAAATATAAATTGATTTTGACATTAATGATAATAAAGAGAGAAAATGTAAGAAATTAAATATACATTTTGTTATAAAAATTAAATCAATTGAAATAATCTCACATAAAATTTAATTTAGATGACTTATAGTATTCTAATTAAATAAATCATAAATAATATAATAAAATGATAAATAATATGAAATGAATTGGTGTAAAAATAAAAATGTGGCTTGTAATTGTTGTTGGTTCTTTCCTGCCAACAATTTTTTTCCCAAGTCTTGAATGTGATTCGCCCGCATATTACATAAATATCCACTGTCAAAATGACTGCAAATGGCGCCAATCCAGCATATTCCTTCGGCGACACCCTGAACGAAGACGGACTGAGTGGTTTTGTCATAGATATGGCGCAAAACTCTGAAGTTGTTAGTCAGGGAACTGAATCGGAAATGCCGATAATTTCTCGAGGCTTTTCGTCGTCAAATCCTCCACATGCTCTTAATTTCCTAGCTGGCGTCGCTATGTTCGTCCAATTTTCTGCAACCAATTTCGTTACAAAGCTGAAAAGCAGCCAGCTAAGGAAACTATACTGACAGCTTCGAAATCGAACATATCTTCAGCAGCAATTTAGTTTCTCGATCTTGATTCAATTCATCAATCTCCACGCATCGCCCTCCAAATCAATCGTCGGGTGTTCTATTCGGTAGGTTTTAGGTTTCAAAGTTATGGGCTTATTGCTTTTCGAATTACTATGCTTGTTGAACTTCGACATTTCATTTTTGTTTTTCGATTGATTTGGGTAAATGTGTGGCAAATTGTAGATCGAAATTGGTATAAGGAGACTGCTGATTGGCCGGTGCCGCTTCCGGCGAATGAAATTTTGCGGCTTGAGGTACTTAGTAAGTTACTCTGACATCTATTGCGGGTCCCTTTTGTTTTTATGATTGTAGCTATTTCCTGCCTTATGAATCAACATTACAACTGGGATAGAAAATAAGAGATTGGTATTTGAAATTGATATTGAACAAAGATGCCTTAGAGAAGAAATAAAATATAAGCAATGGAGTAATAATCAAGAACTTATGCAGGAGTTATTAAAGGGAAAGGAAGCGATCAGTAATGCTTACGGAGACATTTAATGACAACACAAATGAGCAGCATCCAAAAAGATCTTCAGAAACTATTGATGGAAAAGGAACAAGTAATCTTTCTGATTCAAACCATGAGGCAAGTGATGGGAGTGAGATCAATTTGGACTCAGGAGAGCTAATTGATGTTAACATTGGAGGTGAAAGAGAAAACCCAGGAATGTCAATAAGTGTTAACAATGATTACTCAAGAACAGATACCAACAGCAATAAAACCATATTTGTTCCAGATGAAACATCAAGTTCTTCCTCTTCATTAGAAATATTTTCAAATGATTTCTTCCAAGCTAGAAAAGTTACTGAACGTCCAGCATCAGAATCTGTAACAAAAGATGAAGAAAGTGATGTATCTCATGAGAGCTCTAAAAGCATTGCGGCTGAAAGAGAAAAACCAGAAATGTCAAGAAGCTATAACAATGATTACTTGATAGTAGATACCGATGGCATTAAAAGCATATTGGTTCCAGATAAAGCATCAAGTTCTTCCTCTTTATCAGAATCATCGTCAAATGATTATGTCTCTCATGAGAGCTCTAAACGCATTGGAGTTGAAAGAAAAAACCCAGAAATATCAAGAAGTGATAATGGTGATTACTTAAAAACAGACACCAATGACACTAAAAGCATGTTGGTTCCGGATGAAACATCAAGTTCTTCCCCTTCATCAAAATCATCATCAAATGATTTCTTCCAAACTGGGAAAGTTAACTTTGCTGAATCTCCAGCTTCTAAATTTGCATCAAAAGATGAAGAGAGTTATGTCTCTCGTCAGAGCTCTATCAAATCTGAACCTGGCAACAGCATTCCAGTTTGTGCATCAACATCTCCAATTTACAATTTGAACCGTAGTCATATGATCATGTCCCCAACTGCTGCCCCTCCTGTCCAAGTGATGGATCGATCATCAGAATATGATTCTTTCAAAATTCCATCTTCAGTTTTTGCAGTCAATACAAATCCTGTGGATTGGACCAATGATTCCAATGATTCCGATGAATCATTGTTTAGCATTCAACTGGGGAACCATAGTCTTGCCAGAGACCATTTGTTTACGGCAGCTGAATTGCACAAGTCTGTGGAATTGACTAAATCTGGTGAGTTGAATATGTTCAGCCCACAACCTTCAGTTGTAATTGAGGACAGAGACACGTTCAGAAAGAGTGTTGGGACAGAGGACTCACAAACAACTGAAATGTCAGATGAAGATTTGAAGTTAGAAGAAAGCCTTGGTGAAAACAAAAACACGGTAAAGAATTCATTCCCAGCTTCAAGTTACAACTCCCATGGCAATGGAATCGGAGTGCAGTCCTCTGCTCTACCAATGTGAGCCTATTTCATTTTCAAATTTATTTACATTTTATATTTCACTTCAACAAAATGTGGTGTAAACATGTCTTGCACGTTCTTGTAGTTGTGGTTTGCACTAATTGATAGAAACTTGTATACCTTTACTATCTTCCATGAGTATAAGAGCAGATAGAACCTACGTGTCAAATTTATTACTATGTTTCTACGCAAAACATCTGTTCACATGCCACGGTATGTGCATGCATAACTGTATGTCTATAATCTAATCAACATGAACTTTCATGTATTGCAGAGAAAAGAAGCAGGAAACGTTACTGTGCTACTGTTTTATTTGTAGTTGGGCATGCTGCTGCTTTAAGTTGCCAAGCTGTTCCTGCCTGAAATGTAGTTCAGCGCTCTGTTGTTGTTGGCATGCTTCTCCTGTGTATGTTTCTTTTGGTCTACCCTATGAAACATTCTTAAGCTTCAAATTCGAAGAACTTTATAGCATTTCTCTTTTATTTCTGCCATATTTAATTTTGTTAAAATAATTTTGGTATGTTTTTGCTTCTTTTGATCAATATTATGTCATTGTTATCGGGTTTGATCCTTGTACATACTTTATAGGTTGTAATTGCCCTTCAATTCTCGAGAAAGTCATTTTAGTTTCACCTCAAACTATAATACCATTGATTTAACTTGTTTGAAATTGTTTCAGTTTACCAGAAGCGGTCAGTCATGATTCTGTGAAGACATATAGTCCTCGAGTGACTTCAGATTCAACTTCAAATTTTTGCAATTGGTGCCAGTGCTTCTCTTGGCTTTGTTGCACTTCTTGTTGTTCACATACTGATAGTCCTCGTCAACTATCTTATGATAAAGCCTCAGATAAGACGTCTAGTTCAACTTGCAATTGTTGCAGTTGGTTCCAATGTTGCTTTTGGTCTTGGTGTTCATGGGGCAATCGTTCTTGTTGTTCACGGACATACAGTCCTCGACAACAATCTTATAAAAAAGACTCTGAAAAGCATTCCAGCTCAACTTCCAGTTGTTGCAGTTGGTTCCATTGTTTCTCTGGGTCTTACTGTTCAAGGGACACTTGTTGCTGCTGCTGCTGTTCAGAGACAGATGGTCCTCGACATCAATCTCTTGATAAAGCCGCCGAAGAGACATCTGCCTCAACTTCCAATTGTTTCCAATGTTGCTGTTCACAGACGGACAGTCCTGGAAACCAATCATTTGGTAAAGCCTCTGGAAAGACTTCCAGCTCATCATCTAATTGTTGTAGATGGTCCCTCTGCTGTTTCTGATCTTGTTTTTCATGGGGCAAATGTTGTTGTTGTTGTTGTTGTTGTTGAGGGATTGGCTTTTAAAAAACAATTCCTACAAATTTTTAGTTTAGTTACCATCTTTAGGTATTTAGGTTTGATCAGATTCCAATCTCCATACCTTTAGGATTCATCTCTCAAGATTTAAGCACTTACAATTTCTGGGTGTCACCTGTGGTTTAGAAACTACCTTTTCTCCCATGTCCTTGAGTTGCTAATTTCTTGCTTTAGTCTGAAGGGGGTAATGGAGTTGGTGGCGGCGGCTGCAGCAGTGATGGTGGTGGTGGTGATGGCAGCTTCATAGCGTCTGGGATGATTAGAGGGACCTATGAATGATATTTCTTGTAGCAGTAAGAAGAGCTCAATTTGTAAAATAATTTTTCAGAAGTTTTTGAATTTGTTTCTTTCACTTCTCATTGTAAATTTATTGTAGATTAACCAAAGTCACTTGATTTTATGGTAGAACTCTCAACCCTGTTACTTCATTTGATCTTTATCGTATCTATATATTCTGCTAACATATAACTATAGAGAATTGTCCTATTTGTATATATTTTTTACTGAAAAAGACTTGGGATTCAATGCATTTGGACAGATCCTCATTTGAAGTCAAACTACTCAAAATTTGATGTTCTGCAAATATGAAATATCTCGTTATTTTCTATGCTTTTTGTATGATGTTGAAAGGGCAAAAGGGCAAATCATTCGGGGAGGAATTTAAATAACGAGTCAAGTTAGGGGGCAAAATTGAAAATAACAATTATTATAAGGGGTCAATTCAAAGCCTCATACAGTTACAAGACTGCAGAAGTTTTTGGCTGTTAAAAAGCAAGCAGACATTCGATCCCATGTCCTAACCACGCTTAAGTTTGAGGTGAGTCAGGTGACATCAAATTAAATAACAATAAACAATTACTTAGCAAGTGATTAGACAAGTAATATTAAATAAGAATCTAATTACCAATCAATGTAAGTTGAATTTAATGGAAGGAATTAGTTTCTTATAATATGACGAATAAATATTTAAATTTTTATTAGGAGAAGTGTTTATATTTAATGTTCAACCTACCTTGAACAAATTATTTCTCATAACAGGATACCTATAAGTAATAAAAATGAATTCAATTATCATTTAAACATTAATTTTTTAACTATTCAAACTTTCAATATTCATAGATTTCTTGTTAATTTTAATTATGAATTGATATGATTTGTATTATTCAAAATATTTTTTTAATATAAGTGTTGACTAAAATCTCATATTTATTATTTGATTCAATGTAATTATTCTAGAATAATCTTGAATTTACTAGGATAAATTTTTTCTCTTTGTATATATACTCTCATATTTTATATAAGGGGTGAAAGTGCATTTTTACTCTTGAATTTTTTTTTAAAAAGTGTGTACCCTGTATTAATCAGTGAGGCAGTTTTTTGCCTGAATTATTTTTTTGAGAAGCAAAAAACCCCTTTTGTTAGTTAGCCATTAATTTTTTCCTTTTCTGTTGATGTAACATATGTATAAGGGCCACATGCAATAACAAATAAGACTCTAACCATGACTTTTAGTGCTAATTTGCTCTTGAATTATTTTTTCAATAGCACCCTAAAGGCTTTTTTTAGAAATATTAGGCACCCTAAAATCTTGTTAATATAAAATTTAATAAATATTACCAAAATATTAAATATTTTTCTATTTAATAGTTTAAATATTATTATTTATAAATATTAATTCAAAATTTATAATTTTTTTAAATATTAGGAGCTCAAATTACTTTTTCTAGAAAATTTATAGATGACTTGTAATTTTTATATATCAATTTTATTTTTAATATTGATTACATTCTTAAATTTTCAGGTCATCCTCTAGAATTTTTGAGTCAACTAACAATATTTCTTCAAAATATTACACAACTTGAATTAAATATTCTTTATAAGATGCAATGTTAAGGATAAAATCAGAAACATAATAGATCATGACCAACATGCTAAGAAAATGCTTATTTGGGAGATTCCCATTAATGTCCTATAAAAAAGCTATTTAACAAGAGAATAATGGAAAGAAAAGGGGAAATTCCTTCATTAATTTAGAGATTCATTCTCTTCATTTTTAATACAAAATTATAAAATATCAAAATATTAAAATATTAAATTGAGTTGTGTAATATCTTAGAGGAAAAACATAAGTTGATAAAAAAAATTATAGGGAATGATCTAAAAGAATTTAAGGAGCTTAATTAATATTAATGATCTACAAGTCATTTATACATTTAAAAAAATTAGTTTAAACTGTTAATATTTTAAAAAATAACTAGTAAATTTTAAATGAGTATTTATAAATAATAATATTTAAATTAATAAATATTAAAATATATTTAATATTTTATCAATATTTATTAAATTTTATTTTAATAAGAATTTAGGATGTCCAACACTCCTGAAAAAAGATTTCAAAGTCCCAATACTTCTAAAAAAAATTCAAAAGCAAATTAGAACTGAAATACATGATCATAATTCTATTTATCACTATATATGGAATCCATATACATGCCACATCAACAAAAAATGATAAAGTTAACAGCTGACAAACAAAGGTTTTTTGTCTCCTTGAAAAAATTGTTCAAGAAAAAAATTATCTTATTTATTAGTATAGAATACCTAACGCTCTTTAAAAAAAATTTAGGATTAAAAATACATCTTCACCCTTAAATAATGGAACGTTTACATTTAAATTTGTCTCCTATTGTCTTTTTCTTTATGTTCTTTTATATTGTTATTATTTATTTCGTTGATAGTATATTTTCAAACTTTAATTATTATTTTTTTAGGACAAAAAAGGGACATTTGAGGTGACAAAACGTGAGAATGATGGTCGCATAAAGCATACACCAAAAGCAATTTGCACTAACCTCGTCAATCAATTATGATATGCATATAAAAAATATTAGCGTGCTTTTGTGCGGTTGGCTTCAAAGACGCTTCTTTGTAAGAAAAAAGCTTCCCATGCCTCCCCATCAATATGTTAATATTTTCTTCCACCATGCCACAATATAAATTATTTTTTTTAAATTTTGATTGGTCTATAGAATCCAAGGTTAAATAGGTGTCCCCTTTTTTTTTTTTTCCAATCACACCTTTACTTTATTAAGTAATTAATAAAAGGATCAATGACCATTCTAAACTTTAAATTATTATGCGAATAGCATCTTGAATCCTAAACTGCTAAAAAGTGTAAAAACTCTCTTCAATTTGTAAATTTTAAGTACTTGAAACCTTATAACTAAATTGAAAAAAAAGGGGCCATTACTGTTGTAGTTGTGGAGTGTAGTCACACCTAATGTAGTATTTATCTTGACTCTTAAAAATAACGGTCATTTTTTCCAATTTAGTGGTGGAGTTTCAAGCTCTTAGAATTTAAAAATTGAAGAAAATTTTTACATATTTTAAAAGGTTAATTTTTTTAGAAATATAAATTAGCTAATAATGACTTATATTATAATTTCGAAGGAGTAACATCTAAGATAAAATTTGTGAAAAACAATATCATAGTCATAAATTATGAATGACGCTAGTTATTTCTGCCTCTCTATAATACATGAAATAGATGTTGGATGAACGAAAGAGCTTCTATAAAATTAAAATAGGTGTTGATTTTAGTGAATTGTATATTCAAACAAAGTTTATGCTTAGAAGTTCAACTACAATACTAAAGTATTTGCTAAAATATTTGGAAAATCCCTTATTTCAATTCCTTTTCTTGTCATGTATGATGCCATCACAAAATGTAGCCTCATTGAATCTAATTGAATGGTCAAGGTCGACTCTGACCCATCCTTCTTCTAAAAGTCTCCATTTGGTTTCGAATCTTAAACTATCTCAACTAGAGATGTTTATTCTAGATCAAATCCTCATATCATTGATTATTTGTTCAGTGCAAGAAAAAGTAATGTCATTTCATTAATTATGACATTGGTTTGAAGTTTGTCCCAAGTCACTTTCTAGTACATGATTTTCTCAAGAGTATGCCACTTCCAACTTTCAAGTCTTACACCATGTATCGTTGTTAGCTTAATCCTTTAGGAGATCCATAGGCTATAGCTTTGTAGGCAAATTTAATAGGAAAGTTGACATCAAAAGGACTCTCAAAAAAATAAAAATATCTTCATCTCCATGTGAAATAGGAGGTTGCACAACAATATCTATTTGATTACATGAGGGTGGAGGTAGCAATTAAGAAAATTGAAATTTCATCTTTCTAAGGAAGAGTAGAGATTAGAGATTATAGTGTGTAGAATAGACTCAACTCTAGGGCATTTGAGTAAAAGCTCAAGTGAAAATTTTCATTTCATAAGTTAAAAACGCTAAAGAAATTGAATGCAATTTTTTAGAAAAAATATATAGTAATAATAACACATTCTATGTAGTAAATGTAAGTTGGTCAAACTAAAATTCTTGTAAAACAAAAGGAATAAAAATAAAAGGAAACTTACCTCCCTTAATATCACAATCACAAAGAATACAAAGTTTTAGCATTATAAAATGTAGATATGTGAAAGATGCGGTCTAACTTGACCTTTAAGATTGAGATATTATATGAATATGGTATATATACTATATTATTTGAAAATTTCAAAGTGAAGATCCCATACATGATACATGCTTTATTATCTTTTTCTTTATTTTTATTTTCGATATATATAATATGAAAAGACATATTCCTAGTCAAGTTTGAGTATAAAACTGAAGCTTCTTTTTTTTTTTTTTAATGACCCAAAGATTGCTCTAGTCCTCACCATTCGTTGTCTATTTGGGATTTTTGTCAACAAAAATGAAAAAACATAACTTTAATCCTTTAATCATTTATGCTTTGCTCGCATTTTGTTATTGATCTTTATATTTTTTTTAATATTTTTTATCTATATACTTTTATTTTTTATTATTTTAGGTTCTTTTAAAGTCTCTATATTTTATTTATGGAGAGACTTAAAATAATAAAAAATAAAAATATAAAGACCAAAAAAATTTAAAAAAACTATAGGGACTAATAACAAAACACGAGCAAAATATAAGGATTTAAAGTTATATTTTTTCAAAAAAAATCATTCTTTCTCTAAACTTAAGTAACAATGCCTTGTTATTTATTATGAAATTTGAGAAATTAGTAATCTACCTATGCATAGGATACAACAATTTTTTTTTTAAATATGAAACATCCATTATCTATGACAAATTTTTACAACAAAAATAACTTGTACTCCAAATTGTCATATACTCTGGGGATCTTTGGCTCTTGTCAATAATATTAATCATGCACAAGTAAAATACGACAAATGATAAAAACATACACCATAAATAAATACAATGTAAGGTAGACTAAAAACATACTTTATTTAACTTGTTACATAACTTGTTGTAGATTTTATAAACTAGATTTTTTATTACTTTATTTAAAAACTACTATCATCTAGTGCTTATATATTCTATAATTGAGTAATAATATAAAGGATATAAAACTCAATATTGCATCAAATATTAATAAATCATATTCCTTCCAATTCTATATATAAATCAATTTTAACTCTCTCACCAAAATTAAATATTTAAAGAGAAAATCACAAATAAGGAAATATGAATATCGCAAATAATCAATAATCAAGACCATGAAACTATGAAATTACATTTTAGGGTCATGATCCTTTTTTGTACTTTTAAAAATAAAATGTTGACTAAAATGCCTATACCTAAAATACCAACTTAAAATTTTCTATTGATGAAATCATTTTAATTCAACCACTCATCACTTGATAGTAAAATATGCTTTGGTGCTGCTATTTTCTGTTGGTTTTCTTTGCCGTGTAATGGTTGTCCTTTGAGTTGCTTCTGGATGAAATTGATTCATGTATTATTATTTTAAAAAATATCACTTTAATTGAATAAGAAATTTAGATGAAAGGAGTTTTGTAATAACTTTATTTGAATTGAAAATGTTTTTACTGTCAAATTCGCAATTGGTCAGCTTAAAATTCGCCAATGCTGAAATCATCACTCTATTTTAGTTGAAATTTCTTTTCAAATTTACAAACTTGGTTGCCAAGGATATTGTAGTTAAATTATTATTTTTAAAATTATGAAAAAGAACCACGGTCCTAAAACTCAGTTTCATAATTTTGTAGTATTGATTGGTTATTTATGATATTTGATACAGAAAGAAAATTCCTAACTTACTCTTATAAAATGTATCATTTTTTTTAAGAACACTGTTTGTCTTGTATGTAAGACTACATACCAATCTTAGAAAATTGCAATAAGATAAAATTGAAAGAAAATAATTAATGATATATTTTTTTATGTGAAGTGATTTATAATGACTATCAATTATTTTTTCTATAACATTATATTTAAATCAAATTAGACTATTGATTTTATCCAAAATAAGCTGTATGAATAACTGCTGCAATGTCAAAAATATGAAAAATAACACTGAGCAATAACATAAATTAAAATGTCAAAAATGAATAAGGCAACTTCTTTTATACTTGAGTAGTACATTCTCTCCGAAAAATAAATAATATATATCAACTTTTTTTGTACAACTTTTACTATCAATCCAATTCTTTTACTTGAAGCATTCAGTCTTTAATCTTAATTAGGGAAAAATAACAATCATTCTTTACTGTGAAAAAACACACACATGCACATCATCATAAATTCATAATCAGTAAAAATTTCTCCCCAAACACAGCAAACTAACATTTAACATATATAACTTTCCAATGAATGCCACCTGGGTATCACCTAAAATATTTCCTATGACTGCTCTATCATTTTCACTTGTACTTCCACATGTTCTTCGCACCAAGAGATTATGATGGCATTCAGAAACTTAAATTTATCAAACATCCTTCTCTCACTGAACATTGAGGAAAAATAACAAACAAAACAACAGGATCCACATACAACTGTCAACGTGAAGATATGTATGAGCCTAATATTTTCTAACCCAGAAGACAGGAAGAACATTTACACATGATTTAGCAAGAATTAAGATAAGACTTAACAATGAAATTATAAATCTTTTTCACTTTAATATTATCATCCTATAATTATGTCACACTTTTTTGCAGAACATAAGGAGGGAAGTCACTCTCATCTCACAAAAATGGAGTGTGGACAGGGTTCACAACTATGTGCCTAAGTGGGTGAGAAACATCACCACCACCAGCATGCTTCACAAACTCTGCTGGCGACAGGAAGTTCCCATGGCAAACACACATTATCCTCACTTCCTCTCCTTTGCCATACCTGTATAAGATTCCCTCTATCCTCCTTCCATTAGGACCATCCCCTTTTGCAAAAACACAAGGCATGTCCTCCATCGAGTTTATCCCGATTTCCGTCCCTTCTTTCAGTGAAGATTTCGGTTTCTTTGATGGATACTTCGACTCAGCCCTGCAAGTTCTGATTGCATTCTCAGTTGTGTTTGTCCCTGATGAACCTGCTGAATCCTGCTTGCTTTGCTCCGGCAAGAGATGACTACTAGCTGGGCTTCTTGCTTCCCCACAACTGCTTGATCCTATTATGTAGGGGAGAAGTCATAGAATTAGACCTAAAACCCATAGATTCCAGGGAGCTTTTGGTATGTTTAAATTAATAATGATATATGGATACCCATTAACTTTATAAAAGAGGATAACCTTCCCCAATCTATTAAAATAGCCAGATGTTAACAAGTACCCGTACTTCATTGTTGACTTACACCATAAATTCTTAAAAAGAAGTTTTTGGGATTTTTGTACCTTAACCCTAGATTTTAGTATCGAAGGAATACATATATAAGTAAAAAGGTAGAAGGAGCAGGATCCACTTGCTTTAATTGATGTCTTCATTGAACAGTTTAGCACACAAAATAAGTGACAAAGGCGACAACTCCAACAAAGGGTCTATATGATCAAGCAATCCTAGAAAAGAGTGATTTCAATTTGTTAAATCTCTTCCATTTTAATTTTATCATTTACATACTCTCCCAAAAGACCAAAATTTCAAACTTAGAGAGAGTGAATTTCCCAAGCCAAAAAGAAAGAAATGGAAGGAGAGGTTTCCACTTTCAGAATTCCAATTCTCATTCCCTCTTTCTCCTCCAAACAAACTACTACTATATATCCTCATCGTGCTTAATCATTTCTACGTATTTTTCTGTAAGAGCTAGGTGTGAAAAAGTGAACCTGAATTGCATGTGCAAATATAGGATCATAAGAAGAAATACAATGTCTAGGGATATAACCCAATTATAATATACAAATTGCTATAAGAAGATTCCAAGTCTCAGACATGTCCTCATGATCATGACAGTCCTTTGACATTGAGATATCTCAAACTTCATACAAATGGCCAAATTTTGCTTGCTTTATACACACGCACTTTAGGGGAATGGGACAAGTATGAGACAAAATATGAAATCTGATTATTTTTCAACACTGTTGCTCATCAAATCTTAATAGCGTAAGAGAGCCCTGCTAAATCAAACTATATGCATTTCATCCCAGATCTCAAGATCCAGAAATTTAGATTTTGGATCATGCATCTCGATGAGTGATCAACAAAAGCTTTAATTCAAAACGTGGAGTAATTCAAGTCAAATAAGCACCCTGAATCCAAGAATTGTAATTGGAAAAATTAAATCCCAGCATGATCTACTCATCCTTGGTGCTATAATCTAATTTAGAACTCCTATTGATGACAACTAGGAATCGTGTGCTACAAAACTCCTGAGAGAATAGAAGTCACTATCAAATAAGAGAGACAGGAATGAGAGACTCGGAATCATTCCTGTAGGGATAAGAATACCTGCAAAGATTAATTAATATTAATAATTCTCTTAAATTTTCAAATATAATCTGTCACAGTATGCTATCTATGGTATTAAGATGCTCAGGTTCAATATAGTGGGACTAATTTAAAATCATGAAAAGCCGAAAAAAGAATATTTCTTTATAGAACGATTATAACTTGAGTTTGCACTAAGTTACCATTATTTCTAAGTTCTACATCCATATGCAAAAGTGAAGAGGTGCATCCTCTTTATATCATCAAAAAATTTAAAAAAACAAAACAAAAAAGGCCGAAGAAAAAGAAAAACCACCACCCTCATAACGTTCTCACAAGTAAAGTAACTTTGGTAAGCTGAAATTCTAAAAATGAAAAAGATCACAAATTGATCTTACTAAATATCTTATATATCCTCCTATCCAGACCAACCAAAGTTGGATTCCTAAGAATCACTTGTCACTGAGAACATATGGCATCAGAATCTACTCGTTTGATCTTCCCTATCATCAACGTTTTTAGCATCCCATTCAATCAACCCACAGGAACTTTCAAATTCGCAAGTGATTTAGACACTCCGGTTCAAATATATAAGAGGAAACAAAATTTTATGAAATAACACATCAGAAACTAATCAATAGAATAATCAATAGAATGTGTCTTCATCAATCATACAGTCAAAATCCAATCCACTATTTACTTAGATTTACACCATCCACAGTAAATCAAACCATAACAATAAACAAAACTAGACATAAAAGGAAAACCAGCAAATAACCGTGAAGTACATAGTTTAAAATGATTTAAAAAAAATAACAGTGACTGATCAATAAAGAGGAAAACTACTAGGTAGCAACCTAAGTTGACAACAAATTAAAAGTGTTATTTCTCCTTCACAATCTTATTAACATGCAATAAAAGCTGCTAAGCTGAAAGCACATCCATAACCAAAAAGCATATTGTTAAGATGAGAGAGTTCACCAAACAACGAGGAAAACTAATACACGGTCAGGAAAAAGTATGTCCCTTTAATAATCTGGTTAAGTTCGTCTATGGAACACGCAAAAATTCTTGACTTAGAACAAAGTTTGAGTATACCTAATCCTGATAACCCAATTACTCAAAATAGAGAAAGACTTGGACAATAATTTACCTTTAAAAGGTTTGCTCTCCATTTCTGACATTCCCGAAGAGCTTCCACCTTGAGAATCTGCGGAGCCTTGAGAAGAATGCTGTGCATATCCTTGAAAACCAATCTTTCCTTTGGCCAATACATCACCAAGAACGACTTGCACTTGCCTAGCGTTACAAGCAGACGATGCACCCCAGCCAGGCAACCCGAAAGGTCGTGGGGACACCGTTGCACCACCGGCGACTTCCCCTGCGCCGCCACTGATGCCATCTCTCTCCGTCTTGGAATTTTTCTGCTTCTCCGACCTCCGTCTCTTCGCCTCCATTCGCCTCAATGTTTGCAATTCCTTCCTCTTCCTCCACTGCTCCTCGGTCTCCGTCGGAAGTGACGAGGTCCGCATGAGAGTATTCGGGCATGCCGGCGCCGGTGACGGAGTCGTGGAGTCGACGTCCTCACTGACGAAAGGCATTATCCCGACGATAGACGATGATCGCATAAGCTTCTTAGCGTTCTTGTCGACACCAAACCGACCTCCCAACGAAAGGCCAAGGCTAAGCTCAATCTCTTCCGATTCTTCGCCATGCTCTGAGTACAGGGGTTGCTGCGTATTGTTACTACAAGCCATGAATCTCTGAAGAAGATCTCTCGGGAACTTGTCCATTTGTAGAGACAAATTCTCCACACCCTTGCTTCTTCTTCCTTCGTTAGCCTCATCCATGGTTCAACAATCAGTTAAAAGAACAGGGGGAGAGAGGGAGAGAGGGAGAGAGAGAGATTTATACGATAAAACTATCACTTCAACTTCAAGTCGTTCTTCCCCGGAACAAGAAAGCATGGTTTGTCATGGTTCCAATTCGGAAAATCCTCAAAAGAAAACATGGTTCTCACCCGATGATGCTCAATCGCACAGAAACGCATGAGCCTAAACAGGAGAAACGTTTCTGCTCCAAAAAACAATCCGAAAAGGAAGAAAGAATAAAACTACTAGGATTACTATTTGAATCAGAACGAGATAAATTAGTGAAATAGTAGCAATCCCCACAAAAAGCCGCTGAATTTTTTTCCCCTTCCGCAAAGTAACCCAACCCAGACGCGACAAATTGTTGGATATAGTAGTTTTTTTTTTTGAAAAGGAAGCAGCGGACAAAATAACAAACAAACTTCAAAAGCACAGCGCAGAGAGAGATGCGTGTTAACGAGAAGAGGGGTAGAGAAGCAAAGAAGACGGAGAGGGAAAATGAGAAATGTTATCATTGTGTTCCGAAAAGACCCCTGCGATTGGAACTACAAATGTTCAAGGAGTCGACACGTGGTGATCCTGGCAGTAGGAGGGTGACACGTGGAGGTATGACACGATTTCCCAGAGTAGAGAATTAATAAAAACGGTCTTGGAGGGGTCGCTGTCAACAACTTGTCTTTTTGCCGGTGAAACGTGTCAGGTGCAGAATCAGAGTGCCAGGGACGCCACGTGTCGGTCAAAATAAGAGCCTGGGGAAGTTGACATGTGGCAAAATGATTTAGAAAAAAATTACACACAGGTCCGTGGAACATATTTATTTACAAATACGTCTCATAAAATTTAAAAATTACAGTAAAATTTGAAATTAAATTGTAAAGATAATAATATCTTATTAAATATATATGATATCAATCAAATAATAAATTTATAACTATTTTATTAATAATTTATAACTATAATTTTAATATTTTACAATTACAATTCTACATATTTAATAGCCAAATAGTTATATATTACTAATAAAGTTTAACATTTATTATTTATAATTAATTTATCAGTAATCTATAACTTTAACTTTTTACCATTATAACTTTATACATTCAATAGTTAAGATTAATTTAACTAATGAATATATAAAGTTGTAATTATAAAATATCAAAGTTATAACTATAAATTATTTGATTAATATAATATATATATATATATTTAATAAAGAATTATTATTTTTTTCATCCCAACCTTAAATTGAACTCAAGTTTTAGAAAATTTAGTTGTTTTTAAATTTTATAAGATTTATTGAAAATAAATATTTAATGTAGAACCTATGTATAATTTTCCCAATGGATTATGTCCTCGTATTGCTGCGGCGTGGGTTCATGGTCGCGTCGCGTCTGGGAGTGGGAAGTGGGATCGGCATGGCCTACGGTTCTGCCCCCTGCAACTCGTCAAGTTGTCTGGAAAGCCCATGTGCTGTGAAAAGTAGTATCTTATTTATTAGCTGTATCCCACGATATGGTGCGCAATAATATTATCACGTTTTTTTATTTATTTTGCTCCTTTAATTTTACTCCTCCTCTTAAAAATAAAAAAAAAATGACAACAAAATTTTTTAAATTGTATATTTTTTTGTTTAAAAATATAAAATATTTTTAACTTAATCTCACCCCTCAAAAAATTAATTACTTACTTTTCAACTAACCTTATTTTTTTATATTTATCCTAATTAAATACTCTACAATAAATATAAAGTTATTATCAATAGAAGCACTTTTAAAAAAAATAATAATTACACCTCAAAAAATTAAAAATACCTTATATTTTTTAATATCTAACTTTTAAAAAAATGCTTTATATTTTTAAACGAGGAAAGTATATAATAATTTAATAGTTTAAAATGTCATAATACTAAGGATTTCTTTGAAAATAACTTTTTTGAGAAAAAGATTATTTTACCCTTATTAATAAATTATGATTTCTTATTCAATTATTACGATTCATTAAATAAATGTTGTGATTCTTTAAATAAAAGTTATAAATAAATTTTATTATTTTGAGAACTTGTTTTTCAATAATAGAAATTACACTTAATAAATTATGATTTTTTGTTCAATTATTGCAATTCACAAAACAAACATTGTTATTCTTTAAACAAAAATTGCAATTAGGACTTGTTTTTCAATAATAAAAATTGTGCTTGACAAGTTGTAATTTTTTGTTCAACTCTTACGATTTACATAACATAAATTGTGATTTCTTAAACAAAAATTATAATCAGATCTTGTTATTTTCAGTAAGGATAAAATGATCTTTTTTTAAAAAAAGTTATTGACAAAGATATTTCTAGGAACTTCATTAGTGTTATGGCATTTTGAAATACCAAATTATTATTTATATAACTTGAAGAGATTTTATTTTCATTTTTTCTTAAAAATATAAGGTATTTTTAATTAAATTTTACCTCCATTAAAGTAATTATTTATCTTCAAACTAACACTATCTTTCCCATATTTATCTCTATGTAATAGAGTGTTTCACTTTAAAATAAATATAAAATAATTATTCAATAGGGGCACTTTTTAAAAAGAAAATACAATAATTATACATTGAAATATTAAAAATATTTTATATTTTCTAACATTCAACTCCTAAAAATATACTTAATATTTTTTAATGATGGGATTATGTAAGGAAAATAACAGGAAAATCTCTTCAAATATGTAAATAATAACATAATCTCATAAAATGCTGTAATCCTTTCTGAGTTTTTAGACTTTTTTTGGAAATTAATAATTTTTAATAAAATAACTAAAATACTCTCAACTTAAACTAAAATAATAATTACTTATTTTATTTTAATCATTGTCAAAAGAAAAATAATAATTGTTTAAATTAAAATAATCACATATATTTATAACGATTGAAGTTGTAATTTACATTAAGGAAGTTGTATATTTCAAAAATTTACATTAAGGAATTTGTAATTGATTGTTTTAATTTATTATAGTTATTGCAAGAAGAAAAATAGTTATTATTCAAATTAAACTAAAATAATCACAAATATTTTTAATATTTAAATTTCAGTGAATAAAAAATTTATGCATAGAAAATTGCAATTGCTTGTCTTGTTTTAGCCATTACGGAAAGAAAAGTAATTATTGCTTAAGCTAAAATGATCACAAATATTTACAAAACTTAAATTTTAGTAAATAAAAAAATTACGTAGAAAAAGTAATAATTATTTGTTTTATTCTAGTCATTACAAAAAAAAAGTAATCATTATTTAAACTAAAGCAATAAGTGATATTTACTTTTTTTGGAACCAAATCTCTTACTTTTTATTTTAAATTGGCATATTTTAGTTATTTCATCAAATATTATTAATATCAAAAAGATTTTTAAAAACTTTTAAAAAATTATGGCATTTCACGAAATTTCATTATCATTTGCCTATATTTCAAGAGAAATGTTTCAATCTTTTTTACCTTTTATTATATATGAATTACTTTCTAAAAAAATTCTAGTCTTTTGTCAAAAAAAAAATTTATAATCGTTTTCTATAACTTACTCCCTTCATTTTCAAATACAGGAGAATATAGTCCATTTTATACAGTTTAAAAAGTTAATTAAGTATAATAATTATATTTGAAATTAAAAATTTGGACTAAATTATCCCTATAATTAATAAAATAAATTTGTTTAGTAAAAATAAATATTGACTTTATGAGGAATAATTTGTTGTTTCTGTTCATTTTTTTTATTTTTAATTAAAAATTTAAGACTATAATTGGCGTCATAAGATTATATTTTTATCAGTTAAGATTGTATTAAATAAGCTAAGATATCGTGTTGAATTTTCATATACGATAACATAATTTTAATAAGTTAACATTTAGTATTCCAATTTTTTAAGTTGATATTAGTTAAAAAGTTAAACTTTTTAGTTTGGCAGGATAAATCAAAAGAGAGTCACAATAACATTAAAAATGATACCAGACGTGAATTTTTTTACATTAAAAAAAAAATCACCCTTCAACTACTCAAGCATCATCTAAATTTTTATAGTGCAATATCTTTTTAACATTTAAAAATAATACAATATTTCCTGCACCATTAACAAATATTAATCTTGATAGTTACTAGTTGGTATTAAATATTATATAAAAAATCTCAAAAATTGCCAAAAAAGACTTATAATTTTACAAATTTTGATATTTATAAATTCTCAAAAAATTTATAATTTAACTAGAATATTTGTGATTTATAAGTAAATGTATTTTTTAGACTAACATTTTAAAGGTTGACATAAAATTCTGGAAGAAGACTTGTAATTTATTACAATATCTTAATTTACAACTTAGCTAATTTTTAAAGGAGGATTCATAAGTTTTGGGTGAAGAATCATAATTAATGATAATATTTTAATTATTAAAGTAATATTTAAATAAGATATTATCAAACAAATATATTATTTTTTAAAAAACTTACCAGTGTTGTTTCCAACAATCAGACAATCATCTATTAACCGGTTAAGTTGTAATTAAAATGATATTTTTATCTTTTTCATGGATGAGAAAGAACATTTACTCTTGATATTTATTTATAACTTAAAAGATTTAATTGATATTAATTTTTTATAAAATATTTGTTTGGAATTTTTTGAATCCTTTTATGTAATTTTAACAATAAACTAAAATTCAACATTAATATTTATTAAGTTAAAGATAAAAACTACACCATTTTCAAATTTTCAGGAGAAATATTACATCACAAAATAGTTTACCATGCATTGTGTATAAATTGAAAGATAAAAATACTCTTTAATCTATAATCATACAATATTATATATTAAAAAGTCAGTTGCAAATTATTATATCCCCATTTAAGGGAAACCTATGGGGAGGAAAAAGATAAAGAGCGAAATGTATCGTTCGTCTTACTCAAAATTGTGTTTGTTGTTAAAAAAATTATTTTTTAATTTAAAATTAATATTATATTTATCACTATCATACAGTTATATCTTTGTGAGTGGATTTTAATCTCAATCACTTTTATTTAACCAAAAAGAAATCTCAATATTTTAAATATGTAATTACGGAAAAATTTTTAGGTTTTACTTTATTCATTTAAAAATATAAAATATTTTTTAAAGAGTTGAATATAATATCCATCTTGACATAACCAATCTGTAACCACATTCTCACAGGCAAGGTAATTAGAAGTCATTAAACATCTAATCTTACCTCTTGCAATAAAGTTTCAAATTATATAAAATAATTCTTTGAAAATATAAGGGATTCCAAAAGTCTTTTCAAAAAAACATGTTTAAACTCAAAATAGTTTGTGTTTATGCATAGTAAAAATAAATAGGAATGCAAAATTATATTACATAAAGAAATAGGGCAAAAAGAGTCATTTTCACCCTAAAGAACATGTATGTCGTAGCATGTGATACAAATAGGACAATTC